TAAAATACCTATGCAAATGCTGATATTCAAGAATTGTTTAGGATAATAATTTTTCTTTAGATCTTAACTTCCTAATACACAGTTGGAAATATTCTTTAGAATAGTTACTGCCTTTAAGAGCCTGTTGTAAATGAATGTTGTCGTATCATATTATAAGTTTTTAAAAACAATTAATTACGTAAGATCTTACATCAAACACATTCAGCATATAGCATGCAAATATATCATATAAATATATACTACATTAGACCAATTAATATTCAACTCACAACAGTTAATCATGTTAATAATAAATAAAACATAAAAAAAACACATCACCAAACACTTTTAACTAAATTTGCACTACGCATGCTAATACTACATCACTAATGTTTATAAAATGAAAATGATCTTAGTGCGGAGAAAATAACACGTTTTCTTATTGCTGTGCTGAAAGGTGCACAAGACTTTACGAGAAGGTGATAAAAACTGGTAAGCATGTTTCTTAGGACTTGGAAAAAAAGGAAAAACATATTTTTGCTTTATGCTACATAATGACTAAGGATATGTGGAAAAAAAAATGCATGTATCTCCACCTTAGCATCAAATTACAAGAACAAATGCTCAGGTAAAAAGAGGAAAATAATTAAGAGGTTAAACCACAGGAAAAATAACCTATTTACCACTGGTGAATGTGAACTGATATATACACATAATGAGGTAGAATTAAATCTAGGGACAACGGGACTTTGGACAATACTCTTGTATATAACGAGTCAAAAGTTTGCTTTGTATTTATGTACACAGAACCTATGACCAGTAGTTTTTTCAAGACTAAGAAAGGGTAACCAGGAACTGGATATTGAGATCTGATTCAGTTCACAATATCAGTTTAGTATTGCAAAACACGCAAACTTTTATAGCAACGACACCCCATAACAAGAAGAGATAAAGGACTGAGGGATAAAAATAACATCTGAAACTACCAATCGTGGACAAAATTGGTGTAAAAAAAAAAAAGGAAAATATATATTGTATATACATTCATCTATATCTATATCTATATACTATACATATACATATATATATATATATATATATAATATATATATATATACACATATATATATAATATATATTATATATAATATATAATAATATATATTATATATATATATTATACATATACTATATATATAATATACATACATATGCTATACATAATACATATATACATATATATATATACATTATATTTATATATATATATATATATATATATATATATATTATATATATATATATTATATATATATATATATATATATATATATATAGACATATAGTCATATATAGATATGTCCCCCCTCCACACACACACATTATATATATTATATATTATTTTTTTAGTTCCATAGTCTGTCTGCCAGGCAACCCCAAGCCATTCAACATGGCTCTTACAGAATTTACACCAAACATAGAAGGAAGGCAGTGTTCCACTACTAAACTGGCTCCTATTCAATATTCTTTGTAAATTAATTAATTCAATATACTCTTAGTCATTGACATACCAACTTAAATATGCCTTTTCCAAACATGTATCATGTACATGACATATCCCACTTACAATCATGTTCATTCAAATGTGCTAAATGTCTTATAATGTTGTCAGGCCAGATATCCATGTTATTTGCAATAATCTAAAGTAACAAAAAATGAAAGTCCTTTTGTTCTGATTTATAAGACCTCATTTCTATTCAATATCAAAGTACACAGAATGGAATTATTACTTCATTAATGTTACGAACTAAAGAATCTAATTTTCCTGTGGAACACTATTTACAACAGCACTATAAACTGCACATATTGCCGTAGAGCACCATAAACATTGTGGCAAAAGCACTTAAGACTGACTGTCAGCTACTAAAAAAATAAAAAATAAAAAATATCTGACACACTGAATCCCTTTCAAGTATTACCACTGCACCAAAAACATGGTTAAGAGGAAGAACGCACAGATTAAAAGTTCAGTCAGAAGCAGATCCCAGAGACTGAGAAGCGGTGAAAAATAAGCTCTGCTGCACAAGTCCATTGAATTTCTTTTTCCAAACACTGCCTGACACAACAGCAAATTATTTACAGGTTCAGAATCATATCTAAAGCTGTTCTTCAAACCAGTCTAGCCAAATGAGTTAAAAAAAAAAAAAGAAATAGCAGAAGCATAGAGTGCTGAACTTTGGTTTGCACTGAGAAGAGAGAGAGAGAGAGAAGCGAGAAAAAAAAAAAAAGGATTTTGTTGCTTGTAAATGCCAACTAATCCAGCCCAGCAGTTATAAACCACATATCAAAAATTAAAGTGTTAAGTAGTTAGAAACAAGTCAGAAGTTATCTTCATTATGGATCTATGGCAGCTTTGGTGACGGGCGCAGTTGTCGGGCGCTGGTTCCGGTACTGTACCTTCGATTCTCGGGGTGGCGAGACGCACTTGGGGGAGGAGGAATATGCAGATCCTGACAGCATGTAGACAGGCCAGGCATACAGCCAGAGGAAACAAGACAGTAGGGGACAAAGGTATCAGTCACAAATTTGGGATTTGTTACTGGATTCAAGGCGTGTTGAAGTGGTTGACAGAGGAATAGGGTGTGACCATGTGGAGAGTATACACACGAAACACACGCAGACAAAATTAAAATCAAAATAATCACTGCATTAAGGCTTACTTCTGGGTTAGTCTAAAGTTTGGCAAACCTGTTACATTTCATAAAACAGAAAGAAAGATGTAAGAGTCAGTTCAATTTATCTTTCTTCTTCCTTTCTTTTTTTTTTTCTTTATAGTAAAGCAGTATGTTCTGATGTCAGAAAAGGTAAAATCTTAAATAATTTTAGATGAATTTAACATGTTGGAGGGAATGAGGTGGAATTCAAAGGAAATTAACAGTTTTGTGTGTGAAGAAATTAAATAATATTACATGTGTGGGGGTGCTTGTTCTGGTGTTGGATGCTCAAATCATAAAAAAATATAGAAGAAAGCAAGGGATGTTTAAAGGGTGTACAAATTATGAGTATTATGCAGTAAATATTCATCTACTTTTGCTGCACAAAAGAAATAATTAAAATTCTGCTAAATGTACAACACAAGGCATGAGCAACTTATAAAAGATGTATATTGATCCCCTTAAAATGTACATGAACTACTTGTTAGTTTTTACTCACAATCACATACCTACAATTCACAATCACAAAACGCTAAAAAAGAATCATTCTTGATATTTTATAAGTATAAATATATGTATAAATATATAAACAGACACACTTCATAGTTGATGCATTATGTGCAATGATAAAAAATCTAAATCATAAAGCATTACCAAAGCAAATCCAAATCTACCTACAAATACCACTACATAAAAGTTACCTATGAAACAGAACAAATGGTATTAAATAGATAAATAAATATTAAAACAAATCTAAAAAAAGAAGGAATAAATACTAAAAAAAAAAAAAAAAAAAGAAAAACAAAATCACATGACCATCACAAATGGCACCAAGTAACAACGAATACAAATGCCGAGGCACCAGCTGGGTGCTGGCCCAGGTTAGTCACCTGATGCTTGAGGTGGTGATGAGGCTTTAGTGAATGGGGAAGTTAGGGAGGAGAGTGGACGGCGGGAGGGAGAAGTGGGGAGGGAGAAGGCAGAGCGGGTATCGTCACTGCTCCCACGGTCATCAAGAATGTCAGCACTGGTAGATCTGCCCTTCTCAAACCTGAGGTAGGCGAAGACAACCGATTAGGAGGATCATTATGGATTTTGGATTTACGACAGTAATATCTTGTAAGCTACTTTTGACAAGAGGGAACATCTCATGGACCAATAAATACACATCAAGAAAAACTATCTATCTTGAAAGTAATCAGAATTTTGAAAAAAGGGGAACATGCACAGTATGAGATATAAATGAGTAAACGCCAATAATATCCATATACATGAAAATAAATATTGTAAGTGAGAGAGAGAAAAAAAAAAACAATAACATATAAGACATATAAACCATTGAGAGTGAGAAAGACAGAGAGAGAGAGAGAGAGAGAGAAAAATCCTCACCGCTTTCTTTTCCTTGGATCTTGAGAGTCTCAGCTTTGAAAGCTTGTCCCTCATGCTTGATGGACTCTTGGGAGCGCATTTAGGAGTCTCTGCAGGGGCTACATTGGTCTGCTGTGCCGCTGCTTTGCTTCCACTGTCCTGTACATCACTGCCTTGTTGCTGTGGCTCATTTTTCTTTTTCTCATCCCCTGATTTGCTGAACATACCTGAGGAGATGATGCAAGTCTATGAAAATCAATTTAAATATGGCATCAATCAGTTTCAATGCCATTCCTAAAAAATGAAGATTTGAATACATCCCATACTTATATACTATAGTCCCTTTGAGCTAGAGGAATAAAATCATAGTTGCAGTAATTTAATTCCGTCCATCACTGTTTTCTAATGATCTTGAAAGATATTTTTAAAATGCAAGTGATCTGAAAACCATCCTGAGGTAATGAATTATTAAAAAAGAAAGAAAAAAGGGAAAAAAGAGGTTTTCAAACTTACCATAACTGAAAATAAGACAAACCAAACCATATAAAAGAAAGGGGGGGGGGTTGAGAATGAGAGAAAAAGAAATGTAATGAAATAAAACATGAAGTCACTATGTAGCATAAAGATTTTTTTTTTTTTTTTTTTTTATAAGTGATCATGTTGAAAAAAAAAGAAAGGATATGGCTGTTTGAGAATCCTATCTATTTCCTCCTTTATTAATCTAGTTAATTTTATATGGACTTTAGGACAAGTAAACCTAATTCTTTACCTGTAAACACTTGTATAAGACTGCGCCTCCTTTCCCGATCCTTTGACTTCTTTCCTGACTTTTTCTCTTGTGTTTTCTCTGAGGCTGGTGTGTCTTCAACCTGTTTGCTAGATGGCACTGTTGTTGACATGACAGCTGCAGGTGCTGATGTTATTGATATGGACTTCTGATCACTCGGAGCATTGGTAATTGTAGATGATGATGAGCTTATGCTTGGCGTTGTATTGGTGGTCGATAAGGTTGCTGTAGGAGCTGGACCTTTGCTTGGTGAGGAGGTGAAAACCTGAAGTGACTCCAGCTCTAGAAGAGAGGGCCGGTGGGTGGTTCTACGCAATAACTGGCTGTTGGGGGTGAATCTCCATTTTCAGAGCTCTTCGTGCTTCCTCTTCGTTTCTGTCTGTACTCTTCTAGTCTCTCCCTGACACGGTCATCTTTGTTGCACCATTCCTCCTTTTTGCCCTCAGGTTCTCGTTGACGATGCTCTCTCTGTTCTGCAAGCAACTCTCTGACGCGTTCCTCCTTATCTTTTGTTCTAGATTCCTCTCCTTTGACAGGAACATCTTTTCTAACATGGTGTTCTTTGTTCTTGGCCCTCACTTCATCTCCATTAGAAGTTGCACTTGTTCTTAATATAGAATCCTTGACTTGATCTTCCCGGTCACATTCACTTTCACTCACACTTCCCTTTTTAAGCTTTTCTCGCAAATTATCAGCCAAATTAGGAGGACTTAACCCCAGGTCTAAGTCTGTCTTCAATTTGGCACGAAGCCTAGCCTCTTCCCTGACTTTTCTCGTTCAACAGTGCTTAGATTTGGAGTTGAGACGGGCCTCTCTACTCCTATCGGAGTATACATTCCTTTTAATGATGCTGCATGCTGTGTCCTTGGAGGTGGTGTTGGAGCTATCGTTGTAAGGCACCTTGAACAGCTCTCGTTTGGACAAGGTTGGTCAAACTGCTCTGGATGTGTTAGTGGTGTTGCTGGGAGGTTGTTGTGAGATGGACTTGGAACCTCTTTAATTGGAGAGCTCTTCCTTGGAGACTTTTCCTTCCTGGGGCTCTTTGGTACTTTTTTAGTAGATACTATAATATTTTTCTCATCTTCCTTTAATACAAACACCTCTTCATCTTGGCTATCATCAGCAAATGGTACATTTACATCTTGGAGACTTCCATGTTTCCCTACAGTTCCAAGAACACTGTCATCTCTGAACAGGGCACCAACTCGTACTTTGGATCTATTTTCCTCAGCTTGGAAAGTCTGTCCACTATCAGGAAGATCTCCACTAACTTCTGAGATGCTTCTCTTGGAACCACTGCCCAAGACACTATCTTGCCTGAATGCAGCCCCAAACTCTGACCTTCATTCTCTTTTCCTCAGCGTCAAATGTATCACCACTTTCTGGTAAGTCCGACGTTACCGTGTCTAACCTAACAAGTTCTTGCAGTCAGCACGAATGGTCTTCTTTTCTGGCACCTCTCCATTGGTTAAATTATCTGTACTTCCATTTACTGGCGTATCAACTTCTCCAGCAAATTCTCCTGAGATGACTGAGGACTAAAGAGTGAAGTACGCGAACTTGTGGAAGATAGTGGACTAATTGATGTTCTTGATCTCTTCTTGTATTCTTTTCTGGTGTTTTGCGTGATATTCTAGACATTTACCATTTCTCGAATTAGATCTTTTTCCTTTTCCTTATCTTTCCCCTTTAGACTCCTTTCAATTTGCTTCTTAGCTGTGTTAGGTGCCAAGGAGACATTCTCAGTTGTAGGAATTGTTAGTTTTTCATTACGATTTTCATTTTTTCTCCCTTCCTCAATGTCTTGTTTTGTGGGAGTGAATAAAGGACTTTTAGTTGAATTTCTTCTCACATCAGGGAATCCCTCACATATCCAAAATGGACTCACTCTCTCCTTGAACCTTGGAATATATCCCTCATAACGGCTCTTGGTAACATAATCATCTAGAGAGTCACGACGCTGTTCACTGCTGAACTTTGGTTTACTTTCACTCAAGGATGGTGGTTCAGATATACTTCTGGGCTCTTCTGGAATGTCTTTTGCTTCCTCTGGTGAATTCTCTAACAGTGGAACCGAATCTTCTTTGATGAATTGTTATTTAGTGCTTCTTGAACACTACTCTGGGATGAGTCCTCTAATTCAGTACTTGTGCTGTCAGAAGACTTGCTATCACAGCCAGATAAATTCTCCATGCCAACCATGGAAATCTGTGGTGCAACAGGAGTTGTGGGAGTCTCAGCTCCTAGCTTGGTGTAGCCTTCTTTGATGTGTGAGACCTCCTCAGGGCTGCTGGCACTTTCACCACCTGTGTCCATATACTCAATCCCTTCCAGGTCAGCCAGAACACTCGGTTTTGAAGGCACTGAGGCAGTCTTGCTCGGGCCAGTGGAGATGGCTGAATCTGTGTCCCCAAGGCTCTCCTCTGAGGCTATCCGGGCTATGGTCTTGGATGTACCTTTCTTGACAGAGAGTCGACTTGTCTGATTAACCTCAATCTCTAGGTCTTCTCCTGCGCTAAAACCATCATTGTCCCCAGCCAGTCAGAAAGTTCAGCTTCTGTGAGTTCCTTTCCCTCTGGGCTCGACAGGACATCTTTTTCAGGGATCTTTTGCTCTCAGAGATATCCTCATCTAGTGTACTCTTATGAGACCTTTTACTTTCAGATCCTTCATCATCCTCTATCGGGCTCTTCAGAGAACACTTACTCTCTGACACATCAGCATCTAACAAACTTCTGGGGGACAGTTTTCTTCCACTATTTCAGTGTCTTTAGTTTTCTTACACTCTTCGATTACAATCTCAATAGAGGGTTCAACTACCATTGGTTCACTTTTAACTTCCTCTTGGCTGTGCACACTTGCTTTGCCAATATCTGTGGGTCCAGCTGATTTTTCAGCTACAACCCTTGTCAATACACTCTGTTCTGAACTTGTACTGTCACTTACTTTTCTCTCACTATCTTTGACTGCATTATCCTTTAAATGAGCTTGCTCCTTATGCAAAACTCCACTCACTTTCACTTCAGGTGACTCTACCAATTCCGAAAACCTTTCAATGTCTTCAACTGCATCATTAGCAAGCTGATCAAAAAGTTCATCGATTGATTTCTGGGACTCAGCGACCTTCTGAGATTCAATCAATTCACTTTGCTTCACCACTGGCTGTGCTTCCTCCTTAACAAGGCTTGGGCACTCAGCTTGCATCTGATCAAGAGACCGCGGAGCATTCACTCTCACTAACTCCTGATTAATGGTTTCAATCCCTTCATTTTCATTTTGCCCTGACTTTGATAAGCCAAAGTCATCTCCATCAGATGCACACACTTCCATGTTATCATCTGCTTTTTTTTATCACAGCTAGGTTGTGGCTGAGCATCGGCACTGTCTTTAGATACTGCGGGCTTGGATTTGGCATCATCACTGTTACCATCAGATGTCCTTACATTATCATTCTTTGCAGCTAACAACTTATCTTCCCGCATATCAATTGCTGATGGTATTTTATGGACAAATGACTTTTTATGACCTGAAGGCACATTATCATAATCTGATTCACTTTCACTTGACGAACTGCTGCTGGACTCGCTACTGCTGACTTGCACTGGCACAGCACTGAAGCTTTTCTCTGGTGCAGAAACAGCTCCCTTACTCTTATCACTCTCAGATCCTAGAGATAAGGGGAAGCTTTTTTAACTTGTCATCACCATCCTCTACTTTCTCATTATTTGCAGCTTCCACAGGATACACAGAAGATTCAACACGTGTAGTAATGTCTAAGGTGACATCCTTGCTTGTAGTGGATACAGTTTCAGTTGAATTCTTGTCAGCATTAGTCGAGTCTGAAGATGCATCACCCTGAGGCAGAGAAATGGACCGTGCAGGTAAATGTGGGGATGATGGGGATGATATGGGAGATCTGGTGGATGGCACAGAGGTGCTCATGAATGCTTGCATAGCTGCACTAGGCTGTGGGGCTGGATTCAGCATCTTCTGGGTTTCTGAGATCTTTTCCATGAAGCTCTTAAACCTATTGCCAAGTCTGCTGTTGATACTGACTTCCTAGGTAAGTTTGCAGACTCTCCTAAGAGGTATTGACGCTTCAGCTGCAGGGCTTTCTTGGCAGCAATTGCCTCTGTGGACTCAGTCCTTTGCAGAAGCCTCTTCAGCTGCTCAGCATGTAGGTCAATTTTGCCAGCATTATTCAGATTTGTCAGGCTGGCACTCTTCTCACCCCCTTCTGGAGACCAGTCTTTGTCGTTGGAATTCTTGGCTTGGTTTTCTGTCTTCCCAAGGTCAATCTTCTGTGCAACAAGGTCACTTCTGGGTTCACCCTTCTTATCTGCAGCTGGTCTGGCAGGTGACTTTTTATTCTGTGGCTCAGGGCTGTGGCTCAAGTGATGAGTGTCTTGTGACTCATCGATGACAATTGTTGGAATCTCCTTAGGGGTCCAGGTTGTACATGATCTTCAGCGAACTCAGAATCCGTGTCAATCTGGGTATCACTTTCCTCACTCTCCTCATCAGATGCAACCTGTGGAACAATAAACCAGTCAAGAAGACACCAAGAACGACAGTCATACATGAACTAGCAATACAATACCCAACTGAATCTCATATTTTGCAGTCCAAATACCAACCTCTGTATCAGATCCACTATCTGATGTTTCAGCCTTCTTGGTGGTGCGGTTACATCAATGTTGACCTCCATGCGGCGAAGTTCACGCGCACGTTTAACAGCCTCTCCATCTTCATCTTCATCATCATCATCACCACCTTCACCTTCTGTTGCTGTATGACTTTCATCACCTAAACAGAAATATATGTTTTAGATGTTACTCAATACTATACAAAAAATAAAACTTAACTTAAAATAATATATAATGGATATAGAATGATTTCACACAGATGATGAAAGAAAAATGAGGAGGAAGAGAAGGGAGGAGGAGGAAGAGAAGTGAGGAAGAGGGGAGGAGGAGGAGGAGGAGGAGGAGGAGAGGAAGAGGAGGAGAGAAGGAAGAGGAGGAGGAGGAAGGTCACAGGAGGAGGGAAAAAAGGAAGAGAAGGAGAAGGAAGAAAAGGAAGATTAGGAGAATGAAGAAAAGGAAGAGGAGAAGGAAGAAAAGGAAGAAGAGAGAAAAAAGGGGGGGAGGAGGAGGAGGAGGAGAAGGAGGAGGAGGAGGAGGAGGAGAGGAGGAAGAGGAGGAGGAGGAGGAGGAGGAGGAGGAGGAGGAGGAGAGGGGAAGAGGAGAGGAGGAGAGGGAAGGAAGAAGAAGAGGAAAGAAGAGACTTTAAGGGAGGACTTACCTTCAGCTCCATATTCTTCACTGTAATTATCAGATTCTAAGTCAGACTCTGTCTCATGACCTGATACACCATCATCGTCATCAAGGCGGTCTGTTGAGTAACGTCTCTGCCAAGATTCAGCAAGTCGACGAGTTTCGGCAGCAGTCAGAGTGCCACCACCTCTATGAATTCCATTTCTTCATCTTCAACCTCTTCATCACTGAAAAACATTTCATATATATCTAACCAGCAAAGAAAATATTACTGAAATCTTTTTGACACAAACTTCCTCTCCTCATTACCAAAGAACTACTTACAATTTTTATCACATGAAAGAAAAAAAAAATACTAACCATATTTACAAAATAGAAGATATACAGATTTCCTACCTTAAATCTGAATAGTCACTATCCTCATCCCCGTCCGTGTCATCCAACTCATTTGCTGAAGCCCCAAAGTTCCTGTCGGTCCACTCGTCCTCAGAGAGGTACTCTTCCTCATCGCTTTGCTCAACCACGGAATTCTCAAATTCAACCCGTTCTGGTGTGGTCCCTCGGTCCTCCGGGGAGATGGTGGTGGGGGTGCCCACTTTGGCTCCTCCCGTAACAGTCAGGAGAGCAGCTGTTGCACCGCCACCACCACCAATTACCGGTACCTGTAAGAATTGTATGTGCTACCATCACCCATGTGCCATGCCAGCAGGAGAAGTGACAGCGAAAGACCCTGCTTTTTCCAGCACAAGGCCACTTCAGCCTCAGCATTGAGTGTCTGTGGGAGGCATTCAATGTGGGGGCAATCCTGATGTATCCTTTTTATTATGGGTCTATCACAAGCATTCCACAGAGATATTACAAAGAAGGTCTATCAATTACAGAATAGGCATCTACAACATTATCAAACTACAGTGACCATTACACCTGAAGAAGAGCTGTGCTAGAGGGAGGCAACAAATACTGGAGAGATAAAACTGAATATGTTAACTTTCACCTCTATGTATCTTTGTGTCTGAATACAATGGGAAGAGAGATAAGTATTAAAAAGTTAATTAATTTGTATTATATACATGGGTACATATGTATGCATATATGGATATATACATAATATGACAATATTTCTGTGTGGAAGTATACCCTTTTGCTTGGGAAAGAACTGAATCTGCAAATAAATTATAACCATATTTACTAAAAGCTCCTTAACAAACAACATATAATTCAGTATTTTCCCCACCACATGTACACCAATGCTACTTCCAGTGATCCTGTAAAAAAATATACAATAACACATTCACGTATTCAAATAATGCAGAAAGAAGAAATAAAGTGATCTGAAATATATACAAGAAAGAATCATCAGAGTGCATATCCAAAGTGAAAGAAGAGGAATCTGCATGGAAACCAGGGGTGAAAAATATTACCAGAGGAAGAGACTACTGTCAAATTGAGTCAATCACAGAAGTAAAAGCAAGAAATTCAGTCAATGGTGTCATTCGTGGTTTGTGTCATTCTTCGTCTAACTACTGTGCAGATTTTGTGCAATATACTGGCGTTGGCATGCCACTGGTATTTACAAGTTTACAAAACTGCCATGTACTTTTTAAATATTTATTTATTTCCAACTTGTACAAAAAAACTTACACTTCTGTAATACAAATCAATGTCTGTATATGACACTTTACATCCTCACAAAACCTTATATATATTACAAACTAAAAAGATTTATCACTTAAGAAAAAAGTGCTTGGGTTAATCCTATGTTAATAAGTTGTTAGTTTTACATACAAACAGTATCTATATTATACATTTACATAATTTCCGTATAAAAAATAAAAAAAATAAAAAATAAAAAAGTCAGATTACCAGACATCTAGTCAAGTCCAATATGGACTAGCTCTGAGTCTTAGTCATGCGATGGAGCCATGCAAGATACCGGCTCCATACTTGAGAAGAGTCTATTGCCTTCAACTTTCCATCATCACACTCTGGGCTAGAGTGGGGTGGAGTCGAGTCATAGTCAGTGTCATAACCACAGTCATAGTATGGTCTTTCATATAAATGTTTTGGTTGTGCTTTGATATCAGAAGGGGACAGGAACAAAGGCTGCACAGATGATGTCACAGATGGAGATGAAGTTGGATGGTAGTGAGTGAGAGACATCACGGAGAGTAGTGGTGAAAGATTGGCCTTAGGAGAGGGCAGAGGTGAAGAAGGTGAGGTACATCTGTATGGGTAGATGTGAAATAAGTTGGAGAAGAAGGGTGTATGGTTGGGGAGGAGAGTACTCCAGAGGGTGAAGATGGCAGACAGGATAGAGAGCGAGATTTCACAGACGAAGATGTAGAGGAAAGTAAAGGTATCAAAGTCTTAGCAGATGTAGCTTTATGTAATGTGTCTAATTGCATAGTCTGAGGACCATTGACACTGCCTGTTGCAATATTCTCTGGAGAGAAGTTGTCAGTCTCTCTTGTCAATTGCAGATTCATGACTGCCTTGCACTTTCGGAGCTTCGCTTCTTTGTTACTAATATCTTTGGCTGAGTATTTAGGGCTGGAAGATTCCTGAGTTTGGAAGTCATTACTCTCTGAGAGATGAGTACTGCTAGACAATTTCACAAATAGTTTAGGCTCTGAATCACCTTATGGTCATTGTTCTGTGAATTAATATTCATGCTACTAAACTGCTTTACAAGTGCAGTACTGTTGGGTAGTCTGAAACTCTGAGACAATCTACAATTTCTACCATGGGGGAACTTGAAATTTTCATCAATGTTAATTGGCATAAAGGACACAGAACTGGCTAGCACCCTACTGCAGTTGTCTTTTAACGATCTCTGCCTCTCTAAACACCTTATCCCTAGCAAGGAACCTTTGTCTATGGATGCACAAGTTTGGTCAGTCTTTAAAATAATTTCCCTATCACTGGTCTTGTCAGTCAGATCAGATCCACCACTGTGGTGATTTAGGAAGTGCTTAGGGCGATAGTGAAGAGAGGAGGCTCGTCGTATGAGAGCTGTGTACTGCCGAGGAGACATCTCGCCATCACACTGTTGCATCCAATCTATTGACCCATGACCATTTATTGGCCATGTTTGGGGTCCATTTCTCATCTGGAATCCATGAATCTGGGGTTAGTCTACAGGTTACTAATACCAACTACTAAAAGCAAATAATGTGACTATGAGACATCTATTCATGAGAAAAAATGAGGGAAACAAGAGAGTGAGAGAGTATGTGAGAAAAAACAAATCATAACAATTAAAACATGCTTTCACAAAACCAACACACTTCAGATATTAAGAAGCAAGACGAGCCTTTAGAAATTTCTTTAAAAAATCTCATGCATTTTACTTTAACAAGCTCTACAATCAGATAATCAACTACAGATACACTACCTCTAAATCACAATTGTCTCTTGTGATATAAGTAAGACAAAGAAAGAAATGAAGATGTTAGGGAAAAACAAAAACAAAAGGAGTTATCTGCCTAAGAATGATAGACCTCGAAGATTCTGAAGTTTCTCTATGCATTGTGTTTTTCTTATGGATATTTAGGTGTGGTCTCCAAACCCTTTAGAACTATGTCATTTCCTCTAATTCATAAACAATGGTCTGTGGCTAAGGAAAGTTCAAGAATGCAGTCAGTAGTAGTTAATCATGGCCTTTTTAGGGGACCATAATATTTATTCCTTATCTAGGTGGTCTTCAAAATTTCAAAACATAAAAAAAAAAATCTAATCACTTTTTAAGAAGTTTCAATTCTTACAGAATTCAAGAGTAACAAACTTCTATTTCCCTTCACTGAACATATGTAAAAAGAAAAAAAGAGAGAAAGAGAGAGGAAGAGAGAATTGTAACAAATACAGTATGTTAACAACAAAGAATATGACATTTCATTTCTATAATTCAACTATCAATCATCTTTGCAATGCACATAGAACAACACTGACCTCTGAAGACTGAATGAATCATGCTTTACCATGTTTAACCTATACTGACTACATACCTCAAATTTAACTTGTGCAATCATCTCATCCAATCCCTTCCGACAGGTATAGTAAAACCCCCGCCCAGATAAACGT